AAAAAAAATCTGTTTATCCAAGAACATGCAATCGAAATGGACGACACAGTTTCCTGCTTCCGGATGATCTGAGGAAGGTACAGTATTGTACTTTGATACGCTTCCGTCGGAATCCTCTTTTTTTCCGTTTCAGTACTGCTTGAAGGACAGAAACGTACTGATCATTCTCGGTCAGCTTTATGCGTTTCGTTTTTATCGAATACAGTAAGGGCATTACTGGATATTCATGATGGAAAGGATAGTCGAGACGATAAAGTAACAATTTATTCGATCCGAAGCATAATTCATGATGCAGGAAGTAGAAATAGATTTATTATCTGGGCCGATACTCTTGAGGCAAAGAAAAAAAAAGATCGCTGATCGAGACGTTTCGAGATTCCGTAAAAACATGCTTCCGGATATTTTGTTTTTAGTGCCAAAAACTCAAAAGATGTCCACCAATGTAATAACGCAATTTTTCGCGCCTGTGTGACATTCGATCCGGTTGCATTCATTTCTTTCCGGATTCAAACGACTTTCTTTGGTCGCCAGAACAAGCAAAAAAAATAATAATAAACCGTCGATTATTTTTAAATACGATAGGGCAGATAAGAACGGCATGAATCATTAATATATAATAAAAACATGAAATTTTCCAAAGGAAAATTGCATGCTTGCGATTGAATAACTTGTTGATATTCAAAGGATACCACCATTTCTGGATTTCTCTCGCGCAAAAAAAATCGTTGGTCATACATCGATTAATTTTTCAAGGTTAACCCATGTTATACAGCTGCAATTTCACAGAATTTTTGAAACGGTGCCTCGAATGAAGAAGTGCCATCAAGGGTTGCGTCAGGACCCAGTGCTGGAGGTCCCGACACGAATGAAGTTCTTCAGGGTCGTACCTAGCATACCGGGCAACCCTGTCGGGGTTTGCTGATCCTACAGTGCCTACACCCGCTTTACCTTTAGATAATGAACGCATTACTAAGAAGAGGCTGACGTGAGCCTATGCGCGTAGGTACAGTATAGCAACCCGTGCCCGTAATCCACTGTGTTTAAATGTTTATCCAGCACCCGTGGTTTCGTCCCCGGCAAAATACGAAGAATCTCCCTCTTGGGCATACGACATCAGGGGAATTACTGTACTGTATTCTTGCGTAGTGACAGTGAAAATCCCGCTTTCAACTATTCCTCGCCGTCGATTGGACAAGGAGTCAGAAGAAAGGATAACTGAATCAAACAATGACGAGCGCAAACAAACGGGTCGAAATTCGGAGAACCGAGAAAAGACCAGGTTTTTTCGTTCTTTCTTTCTTGACTTTGTATTCATAAAGCTGTCGTTTTTTTTTAGCACAAGACCTTCCGGTGCTGCCTGGAAATTTCGATTTCTTTAGAAAATATTTTAAGTACAGTATGTATATACAGTACATAAAAATGAGGGGAACAAGGTTTGAAAAGGTTCATCTTCTCTGAAGATGATTCCATCTCCAACAGGCAGAACACTTGAAGAAACTTCCGTCATGCGGGCTCATGACAGAATACTTCCAAGCGAACAATCGGAAAGGAAAAGTACACTAAATGAAGAAGGTACGTTAACCTTACGCAGTGTTTAAAAATTATCTAGTACAGTGTTGTATCTAAAAGAGGAGCACATTTCCCGAATTCTTCTGAGACAAGTCCATGATATGTAGTCGTTTGCTAATCTTGACCGTCAGTCATGAGATTATGCATGTACAGTATAAAAAATCATGTCACGATAATACACACGCTTCCTGATTTTAATTGTATTCTTCATAATCTTGCACGAATTTCCGGACAAAATTCATCTCGATCTACGGAAATTTATTTAATTAAGAGGTTAAAATTGAAAAAAAAAATGTAGATACAAGTTAAAATGCGTTGTTTCCTCTAGAATCGAGTTGAATTTAGGGCACTGTTGGTCAAAGCCCGTGTAATTTTGGCTCTACTATTTTGGTAACAAATGAAAGCAAGATTAAAAAACGCTCAAGTATTTCCAAAATATTCATTCATCAACTCAGCTGATAAGTATCCGCGAAAATGTGATGATTCATTTGTACCAGCGGAAGTCAGAGATATAGTATTTTCGTTGCATATTTTTCTTCGGAAATAATTTGTGATTAAGCGAGCGGCATTTGTTGACTAAAACGAGCTGAAATATTCAAAGTAGCCCAAACTTCCTCTTCTTGGTTGTCGGAAAAAGTACTTCGTTAATAATTTTTGAAAATTTGGGTTTGAGAAGTCGATCGGTATAATGGAAGGCATCCACTTACTTGCAGTTATTTCAAATTTACGAAGACGGTCTTTTAGGTCGTTTAGTGGAAAACTTTTGGTTCAGCTTCGGTTACAACTACGACCGACTTGTCACAAGCTCTTTTGCCGTCATGAGTGGACGTTTTATTTTGCTTTTGTAGTAATTATCTTATACCCACTTAGTAGGACATCTACCAACAAGTCCTAGAAACAACGTGATCAACCTGGAGTGCTCGTACGAGCGCATCGTGGCAGAAGCTGTTCTCGTAGAAACTGTTACGAGAGGAGATTTTAAGAATCGATTTGAAAAATGATTAATCGTCTGCCGTGAAAAAAATACGAGAAAAATTAAACACCCTTAGTTCATCTGTCTTGATTAGGCGAAACTCCGTAAGTCCGGCAGAGACGCGTCGGTGCTCTCCATTAGTTTTGCAAATTTTTCTTAGCATCGCAAGTAATAACATATTTAATACTCCGCATTTGAGAAAATCCCCAGAGAATTCGAGTAGTTCTAGAAGATTTTCTACTGTTTAAACGCAGTAACTATAAAATGGTCGAATTAATAAATTTGACTTGTTTCCCAAGGAAGATACTGTACAACACGAGTGAAATATCACGGAAGAATTCCTGCTATTGACGCATCTTGAGAAGAATCCCTCGGGATTTAATTTTCTTGAAACCCAGCTTTTCATATTTTATCAATGGCCGCAGCCGTGAAATCAATATGAAAATAACCATGAAATTGAGGCCTGATTCGACAGATAACCAAACAAACTTTAAATTGAAATTCTTGGAAAGCCATGTCTTCAAATATGCCAAGGAAATATCATGACATTTAAAATCATTTGGTCGACCCTGTAGCTCATAGGTACTGGAGCTCTGTAGCAATCAGTAAAAATGAATTCCAGGAAATCATAGATTCCGTGATTGAAGTCACCACTGATTTCAAAACGGTTGTCTTCGGGATTTTCCACTCATGAGAATTTCAAAGCTTAAACGTTATCTTGAAAGATATATCAAAAAGTGCAGATCTTGAAATTTTCTAGAAAGAAACTAGAATTTCAATGCAATAACTTTTGGAACACCCGGAAACTTAAGTTATTCTCGGCAATTTACAACAAGCCCGTGTTGCATACCATATTTTTTTCGAGTGCTCCTCATATCATCGAAGCATTATGCAGATGAAAAACAGTACGTTTGCTAAACATGAGTTCCAGTCAGTCCTCGAAACTCAATAATGCATAAGCTCTGTCCGATAAAAACAGTGCCTACCGGAAAAAACAATAACAACCGCGCTACTCAGTACAGTACAGGCATAATTAAATTCAGGATCAGGCCATATTTTTGGTAAAAATACTTCGTCATCTCATCCAGGTGTGACACGAATTTTCTGACGTCCAGGCACACTTGAGAGGAATTCATTCAACACGTAGTTGACAAGTTTTAACAGGATTAAAATTCGCAAGGAATGAATAACCAGGCTTAAAAATGATCACGGCTCTGGAAAAATTACTAAACATTGTAGAATATGACACCATTACACGGAAGACACGATAGCAGACACGCAGTACTTCACGCCACTGTTCAACTACTTATCTTTACCAGGAAAAATAGCAAATTTCTTAGATAATCGTATCGGAGCTAGTCCAAGGTATCGCCGATATAAAACTACAGGCATTGCAAACATTTTGGAACACGTTAAGTAGCGCGAAAACGCTCATCACGCGGTAAAGTTTGCGGCTCGTGCGGGTGTCGGAACAATTATTAGAGAACATAAAAGAAAACAGGGGAAAATGGAATATTCTGAAATTTTAAAACATATTTTTCAAGCATCTTGGCTTTAAAGAACTCACTCTGAACACTTGAACATTTACTGAAATCAATAGGAATAAGATTTTGCCAAGATTGTCAAATATCTAAATGCAAAAAACATCCTGCTGTAACTTTCTTCACTTTTTAAATACAGTATTTTAAACCTCATGCACTGTACGTTTGTCCATTCCAGAGCTATTGAAATTCCTGCTAGCTTTTCAAGAGTCGATTTACGTATTTATAAATGAGATGACGAAATTTGTTATTTTGATTGTGCCGGCGTCTCGGAGTGTCCGTCTGCTGTTCAAACGAGTGAAAATGAATTGGATCAGGAACATTTTCTCATAAAATATGGATAAGTTGTATACAGTACAGGAACCACGGAGGAAAATAATTAAGAAGCAGCAGAAAAAAATTTCAACAGAGCAAATATTGCACAAGCATTTAAAGTTCAAGAGCACACTGGAGCAAGTACAGCATTGCGAACATAAGAACAAGCATAGCAGAATAACCTAACCTGATCAATATGAATATTGTACATCGCTATATTCAACAATATCTAAACTTTTCGAACGCTTTTAATACTTGCTTTGTATGCCCACTTTTTCTGCTCATGAGCACCCGTACAAAATAGGATCCAAGATCGGAATTACGGAAAGAGCATTCTGGTAAAATTTTTAAAAATATTACGATGCAAAAATTCGTCTAGGAAAGAGCCAAGAACACAACAGAGCTCGTTCACAGAGGAAACAGAATAATCTAATATATTACATAACTTCGTGTCTTCGAGTCTGGGAGTACAGTATATCGAAAAACTCGAACAATTGCAACGAAAATAAGATTACGATGCTCGCTCCTTTTGGCACTTACCATTCTAATCTAAATTCGGAAGAAAAAATCCGAACTCAAAGCCTGAATAACGGAGAGAAACATTTTTTGAAAAATTCCAACAGATAGATATTCGGATACGGAAATTTCACAACAACAAAAAATACAATGTGGAGAACGCAGTGGACGAAAAATTTCTTTGTGAGTCTCATCGCGACGATCGCTTCGGCAGCGTTGACAATAAGCAGTGCAATTTATTCCACAACTCGCCAAAGTATAAACCCTTGCGACTTCCTCAACACCTCCAGCATAAAACCCTGTGTTTGCGGACAGGCCATTTTGGATTGCAGCCGCGTCACGAGTGAAGAACAACTTTTGGCTATTCCTGGGCTTCACTCGGAACCCGGGTTAGGATTCGACACCATCACCATCACCGACAACGGGTTTCTCGCGTCCCTGCCCCGAGGCGCATTCGGGTCGCATTATGCCACGAAATCCTACGTTTTCGCCCGAAACAACCAGCTCAGGTCGATCCACGAAGATGTTTTCTCCGCAGCGTCGGCGACAGTGACGAAAATTGTGGTGCATGAAAACGCTCTCACTTCGTTCCCGTTTACAGCAATTGGCAATTTTTCGGCTTTGGAATCGTTCGTCGCTTTCGGGAATTACATCAGGACCATTCCAAGTCACGCCTTCGATTCAGTGAGTTTACACTAAACGATAATTTTAAAATTTTGGCGAAGGTTTTTTTTTCTCGAATAAATGAGACGATGTTGATCATGAAAATTTTCTTTTTTTTTGCGTATAAAAATTTCAAACAACATTGAAGTCGGAAATAAGACGTTGCTTCATTTTATTCGATTGTTCAACAGTCAGAGAGGTCAGCTGTCATCAATTTGGGATCTGAAGCATGAGTAGAAACTCATGCTTCAGATCCAAAATTGATCGCCTGAAAACATTCAACACAAATCAGGATTGTAAATTGCTTTTTAACTCAAAATTGGTAGCAAAAATTTGCTTAATTGAATAACAGGTTTGATTTTTATTCGGAGGATAACGTTGGTTAGAGGTCATCATGCAATTTCCCTGCCAATCCTCAAAAGTCAAAACCCATCAAATATGATCCGCAACCCAATTTTTCTGAACCATGTTTTCGTTGAAAAAAAAGTCTGATAATGAAGGAAATCTGTTCAGCAGTGAATTTTGAAGGACGACTTGTGTATCTTTGAAATCCATGTACAGTAACGCATTTTTGTGAGGGTCAGGGAACCCGCCTCCTGATATTTGCACTTCAATGTTTTTTTTTTCTTCTCTCAATCCTTCCGAAAAATATTCGCGCGCGAGCTTCGACTCGAATCACAGATTCTCGAGCGATTAATTTCTGCATCAATATCCCGTTTTCCCGTTGTTTCGCCAGGTGAGCCAGAATTTGCACACGATTCTGCTGCAAAACAACAACATCCAGGACATTGGGGAATTCGCGTTTCGCGGACTGCCGCGGCTGAAGGCACTCGTGCTCGAGAGGAACAGCCTGACCCAGCTGGGTCCCGGGTCTCTGCATCTATCGACCGAGGTCGCCTCAGTAACTTTGGCGAGTAATTCAATTGCCAGGGTTGACCCCCTGGTTTCGGGCGGAGGCATTTTCCCACCAAGAATCGTGCTGACGAGGAATTTGTTGCCGAGTCTGCCTCAGGAACCGTGGGAGCGAATTCTTGGTGAATTGCTGGCTTCCGAGGAAGCGACTTACGTCGAGCTTTCCGGTTAGTGAAAATCTCACCCTCAATACAATTTTTCGAGGTTCAAAAAAAATGTCAATAGGTACAATGTGCCTCAGCCACTACTGTACCGAACAAACGTGGCAAACTTTCTCCGCGTGAAAAATGGCACAGGTAATTGCGCATGAGAATTTATCATTCGGATGAAACGCGAAAAGCAAAATAACGCAACTCAATCGTTTGAATCGGGTTGACGCGTGGATAAAAAAAATAAAATCTTATAACACGTACCAGATATTCAAATCAAAGATTTTTCTATGCATTCTTCCATACCTTTCAAGACCAACTTTAAGTCTTTTCATTCAATTCTGAAATGGCACAGGAAATTGAAGATTGAGGCATGAATTCCATGAGTTGTAGTTGAAATGAGCACCTGAAGAAAATACTTCTAAATTTGCTTGAATGGGATGCTTTATGTTTGAATGCTAAGTTATAAAATCTCACAATCAAAAAGTTCCTGACTACAAAACCAAAGTTTTTCCTCGTGCCTTCTTTTCACTTTGCAGTGATTTTCTCTTATTGAAAGCGCGAGGAAGTAAGATGAAATTGAGACACACAAAAATCAATCCAAATAAGTTGAGCAGAAACGAAAAAAAAAATGCGAGATTGGAGCTATTTGGATTCTGTAATACTGGCTTTTCCACAAGCGGTAAAATATTGGTACCTAAGTAACATTTGAAATTATACATGATCTCAAGAGATGTATGAAATTATGAGCTAGAGACATACGCAAGAATAAAATCGAGTTCATCAATTAGGACGAAGGAAAATTCCGTTTCTGATAAGTTCACATGATCTGTATGCAGTGTGAGAAATGTTGAAAGAGGAAGGCAGTAATGTTGAAAACAAGTTTTGTAGATTTAAAACCACTAATTTGAGTACTGTATTTACATTGGCACCACAAAATTGTTTGGAAAATGGTGTGATTTTAAACGCTTGTAATGTTGGTGCTACTGTGAAACTTCTGGTATGAAATCCATTTCATTTGAATTCATGATTGCATCAAGTTCATTTCGAAAAATTCGGCAAGTAGCTAAATTCAACGATTGGAGATAAAATATATCATTTTATTAATATTGGACTTATTTTTTGGAACATCGGTAACAAAACGCGAGAAAAATATCTGAAGTAAAAATCCTCGTAAACTTATTTCAAGCTGACCAAATTGTGACTGAAAGCAATTATTCAAAGAATCAAATCACTAGGATTACTCTTACGTTCAATAATCCAATTGAACATTAGAACGAACATTCATCAGCATAACAATCAAAGTCATACTTCTTACTGAAGGAAAAAAAATTACACAAGGGCAATGAACTAATTCTCATCGAAGCGTTTTGATCCGAGTCCCAATCAAGACTTGATCAACTTACTGTACTTAATCAAGTTTCTCAACGATCTGAATGAACTAAATTCCTTGCTCGAATGCATTTTTTGCCAGGAAACCCCCTGGAATGCAATTGCGAAGTGAAATGGCTCTACTCGAGACCAGAATTCGCAGAACTCATTCATTACACCTGTGACGACGGCAAGTGGTTGTGGGACACAGACGAATCAACTTTCGACAACTGTTGAGTTCTCAGAAGGAATACTACGACGTCACGCGATTCAACATGCGCTGTATTTTTGTTAAATGACACTGTAAAACATTTCCTCCCTGAAAACGAGGAGGAAAATGGAACAAATTTTAGGAATTACGCCGCGAAATGGCGTGTATCCGGTTTGGCACCGCAGCAAAAGGAAAAATACGAGGCGCCACGCGGAAAAAAAAAGCGCGAAATTGGCTAGAATTAACGTCTTCCAGGCAGAATTGTGCCAAATCGATCAAGAGAAAAATAAATTTTCAATACGTAATACATCCTGATTTTCGTAACAGAAAGCATCAGCTCGAGAGAAAAAAAAATCAGTCAAAAATCACTTGCTTTCGTTGCTTGAATAAATTCAAATACTTAATCAACGTTCGACAGCGTCCTTCATTCACCAAATTTTCATGAAAAGTTTGGGATCCGGAAGTGCAACTGATTTCGCGAATGACGTCAATCCGTCGAAACCAGTGCTCGGGATGTAAACCTCAACACGCACAGGTTTAGAAACCCAGTAAATCGCATTTCAAAGAGATTCTCATGCTCACCAGTAAATTGAAATCTCAAGAGACCCGGAACCGGTAAACAAACATGATTCCTCGAAACCTTATCAGTTCCGAAAATGATTTCAGTATAAGGATTTCAGCCCTCCACAGTGACAACTGTCCTCATCCGGTTGACTTACGTATAGACGTGAATATATTTCCAGAAGGTCGATGAAACCGAGATGCAACAAAAAAAAGCGGGAAAAGTTTGCCTCATCCTTCATCTGATTAAATGGAAAACAGCGACTGGATCTCATTCAGGAAATATTCAGGTCACCGTCTTTGAGGAACATCATGATAATAACGGCGATATCAATATTCGCGCAGATATCGGCATATATATATATATATATATATATATATATATATATATATATATATATATTCGTGCAGATATCAGAAGTACTCCCCGAAATTACCTTTCTCAACTTGCAGCATGTAGCATCGCGATCAATCCTATGCCCAGCAATCCCATTTTTCTCTTTGTATCTGCATCACACAAAAAAAGAAAAATAATCCTGAAACACTGGCCAAGCACGATGTTCCCCACCAGGCCTAGGCTGCAAATAAAGGGACGCTGCTGCTGCTTTTCTCAGGAGACGAAGCGAGCAGATATCCGAGGGTTCACCAGAAAGCCCAAATAAAAATGCGGACTTCTTGAATAACTAATAGATTTGATTACCAAAATTTGATACTGCATTAAAGAAAGACGTAGCATCCGATGTCAAGCAGCTTCACAGAGCCATTCTACTTTTAAAAATTCACGTCGGCTCAAAAACGTTGTAAACTTTGCGCCGCCAGAAGAAAAATAAATCACAGCTGAAATTCATTTTTAAGGATTTTTATCTTCATCAACATCAATTGCATCAACTTTTGCAAGTCAATAAACTAGTTGTTTTAGCGTTTACTAAACAAATGTGAAAATAATCAAGATTTTCTCCCATCCTCAGAAGCGAATAGAAAAAAATATCAATTTTTTCGAATTCATCAACGTAATTTAAATTTTACAGTCGAAGATTTTCTTGGAAGACAAACAGGTCGGACTTACATGCAGAAGTAAATTGATAAAAATACCGAAAACACGATGTTTTTTTATTTTCGCAAGAAATTCGTGATACGTTATTTTTTGTTTAGCACAACAACAAGAGAGACCCTTGTTGCGTCCCACTTCCGGTATGAGTATGATGCCGACAGAACCTTTCAGGAAATCCTCACAGCATACACCCCCTCACTTTGCAACACTATCATCGCTTGAAGAGCGTTTACAAGGACGAAACTTCCGGGTAAAACATCATCATTATTGTACACATACAAGTACACACTGCAAGGTCGGGTGTGTGTTTTCCCAGCAGCCGCATCTGTCCTTTGCACATACGGCCTTCGTTTCGTCATGAATATTTAATGTAAAGGGCGGAAGAGGTAGTATTCAGGAAATCCCGGACATTTCCGCTGCTGGAACGAATGCGTCCAGATCAAGTTGCTCCTTTGCCCGACTCTCATCGTTCCCGAATTTTTTGTTTGTTTAAGTTACTTTAAGAGGTACTCAAGACCTGCTCATTAGTTTATTCGGACTGAAACCCAAAATTCGACGAGCTTGTTATCATTGGCAGAGATTTGAATGCAAGCTTCACGACAAAATGCGAAAATAAGGCATTACAGTACAGCACTGGATATTGCGGTATAATTGATGATCTCCAACAAGGGTAATAGGATGAGATACCATCTGATTAAATCAAAAATGAGAAAACGGACACAAACACTCATTACAAAGGTTCCAAATACGCGAACACTTGTACAGGATTACTGCATTTTTTCCCCAACAATACCAACCTCGATTATTCGGCGTAATGGCTGACTTATTTTGCCTGGGTACTGAAAAATATTCAAAATCGACGACCTTAAATACTATGGCAGAAATTCGAAAAAACAATTTCCCAAATGCTCTTATGTGGTTTTATTTTCCTGTTGGAATTCCATGATCTGCGATTATTTGCTTGCCTTACTTAAAGTCACACATTCGAAAAAGCTGCGATTTAATTTGTTTGCTTTCGTATGCTTATCATGTAACAATGTTTCATAAAATTATAAGTGTGCTGTCCGAATTAAGGCGTTATGTGGAAAAGAAAATCCGTCAGCATGAAAATTGAATAGTCAGCCTTTGTTTCCTTTCATTTACTTGAAATAGTTGCACATTCAATTGACGAGTGAAACTGTACTTAAGGAAGTCTACTGCAATCTTCATCCTCTCACGAAAAAAAAAAATTCATGAAATGTCACTGTAAACCAAGTAAATTGGTAGGGATTTCCGAAGGGATTGAACTTTCGTCGAGTACGTCACTTCGAATTACGCGTAAATTCATCCTCTTTGCACTGGTTACTTCGATAAGAAAGTAAGTAAGAAATTCAATCAAGTCCTGGGGCTGATTCCATAATACGGTATTATCCTTCTTCCTCGGTTCCCAACAGTAAATCTGACAAAGTTCTATTCTAAAAGACGGAAATATGCACGCGACTCGCAAATTAAAATTGAGTACGTCAAAGAGAAAAATAATTCTCCAACTGACGCCTAGATTCATTTTAGATTTCAATTCGATAATTTTTCTATGTTTTTTTCATACACTGCCGCAAATATTATCAGGGTCACTCGTTGTGCGACTTAAAATACTACAGGCAAGCTTAAAATATTTTTTTTTTAAATAAATGACTGGGAGAAATGTAAGATGAACGTGCATTTTAGACATCTTGAAAGTCAACAGCATTTTTCAGCTATAGTATTTTTGTGAAGCCATGAATCGGAATATCCTTCAAATGTTGCCAGGAGAAAATATAAATGTTGAAATCATGAAGCCCATGCAATTTTTGTTCATTATGCATGACTCAGAACCGCAAATGTCAGACTTGAAAATAATATATATATATTTTTTCCAGTTAATTGTTGAGGCAATGAATGTTTAAAAAAATAGATTTACCTCGGTTTATTCATTTCACTATCCCAAAGAAAATTCGCGAAGCCCTCAAACACATTATTGACAGAAGAGTTTCAAGTTTGCTGAGCGTTCTTGAAGTTTTAAAGCGCGCGCGAAATCGGGAAAACATTCTCAAATGGCTTGAAACTGCAATAGTGCGGACGATTATGATTCAAATGAAAGTCAAAATTTCCCGAAATACTGTTAAGGTCTTTGTTGAGCCTTACAAGATAAACTTACCTTGGTCCGTTTTCCGAAGATTGAGGATAAGCGAGAAGACACTGAGGCACGCAACATGCCGGACGACGACCCGCGCCCAAAACAAGCAATGCACGCAATCGAGTCGCTTTCTTTGAGACCCATTGCCATGAACAATATGTCCGACTGAGTTTTTTTTTTTTAAATTCAAATCACAGTACAAAACACTCCAAGTGTCTCCTTCTTCTAAAGACACCGCTCAAAAACCACGAAATCGATAAATCAGCATCGGAAACTCGGCATGACGAAGTCCGACAAATATTCGAGAACAACTTTTTTTTACGCTCCCAGCTTGAATAAAAAAAAATAGTTTTCAAGCGTATTCCTAATTTAATTTCTAAAAAAATCAAGACAACTGCGAATCAAGAAGGATTTTTTAAAATTTTACCATAAAATGAACTTCTTTGGGTACCCCAGATTTTCCGCCAGAATTCCCTCGGCATGTAAATAAAACAAAACTTAGAGCAAAAATCTTAAAATTTTATCCTATTACAGTCATAAATTCTTCTTTGCTAATGGATTTTCTAGAGAATCAGACTTCTAGACCCCGACTGAAACATAACGATTTAGTGGAAAAAATTTCATTAGCCGAACATGAATCACTGAAACACGCTTTTCGCATCACTAGTAATAAATGTCATTTATTTGAAGACGCTCTCATCGCATTGACTGCTCGGAATTGATAAATACAAATATTTTTGGAAATTAAACCTCATTTTCTCGCAGTAATGGCGCACTCGCAAAATTGGCGGGCAAATTTAAAAGTTAGCCAGGAAACACGGGAAAGTTATTCTGTCAAATGATGACCTTCTATTCAAGACTTCGCCACGAAAGGCAGAACGTGCAGTACCTTGACCATGAAACCGTAAATTTCAGTAGATGTCCGATGTGTACTGTAATTAACTGTACTTGAATGGGCTTTGCTAAAATAAAAGAGATTTGATTCCTGACGCAATAATGGCAACGGTTCGTCAAAGGGAATTTTTTCCACGCCCGAACAGCAGAATTCTTGAGAATTTGCAAGCTGTGGAAACGTCGACCTGACGCATATAGCCAACGTGTCTCAGGCGCGGATTCTGTTGACGAAACGTCACGCATTTTTTTCGGAACGCCTTCTTCGCAAGAACTAATGAATCCGTGAAAAAGATTTGGTATGCAGAGTAGAGGTTTAACGTCCTAAATAGATGACACGATTCCATACAAATAGCACACATTTTGCGAATGAATGTGGAAGCCTTTACAAGTAACCTTCGGGCGATCTTCGGGAGATGAGTTTCTACACATCATACCTACTTGAAACAAGTACATGTTTCAATAAACGATGCATGAAGACAGTACTGCATTGCTTTCATTTCCAAATACAATGAAACCTCCCGTTTTTCAAAATATCCTTAGACATTGAAACATGAATCATATCCTTGTACAGTAGATGTCATGACGTCGAAAACGTGCAACGGTCCTAAATAAGAGTTTAAAATCCAGGCTGAAGATTATAACGCGCAAAAATTATTGTACGGAATAAAGTTACGGTATTTAAAACGGTTTTCAAAGC